GAAATATAAAATTGGTGACACCTTGGCAGTCGTGGTAGATCACAGCCTCATTATGAGCCTGCAATTTGATGCAGCCACACAAAAGACAAATACAGTTTTAGGATGGCACCAATAGAAGCATTAGGTAAAAAACACAGGAGGTGATAGTCCCTCTACTCAGCAATTGTTAAGCCTTATCTGCAATAATGTGGGCAATTCTGCGCTTCACATTTTAGAAGGGACATGGAGAAGTTAGAGAGGGTTCAGAGGTGGGCAACAAAAATGATAAAGGGATTGGCAAGCAAGTCATATGAGGACAGCCTGAAGGAGCTGTGCCTGTTTAGCTTCCAGAAAAGATGCTAAAGAGGGGACATGATAGTAGCCTTCAAATATGTTGACATGTCAGAGAAAGAGGACATCAGCTGCTGTGGTATCCTGCTTTACCTGTGGCAGGTTACAGTGTTAGATCTGTGTTGCATCAGGGTTGATAGTTGTCTTATGTAGGGTTTAAGGTATGCATTGTATGGGGGGGTTTAGATAGGGATGATCCTACCTCAGGCACGGGGTTGGACTACATGACACCAGGAGGTACCTTCCAACCCTCCCTCTCTACAATTCTGTGATTTTCTCCTGTGTTTCTGATGTGTTGCCTATGAGATGGCTTTGCTGTGATAGCTGATTCCACTTTTTCCTCTTATGTTGGATAGCTATCATCAGATTCTTTGGTAGTAACTTTGGGTTTGCTGCATAGTAACACAATATATCACCAGGTTAATACCTCTTTGTTTAATAGATTAAGTCAGTTAGTCCCATTAAATTGATCCCTTTCGGAGTAGGTCAGCTGAAGATGGTTTCTCAGTTTTTTCTAAGGTTTTCTGCAAGAGGCAAGGATTTCTTAGGTTGATACCTTTTTTGGACCAACTTCATAGTTAGGTTAGAGTTAGACAAGCTTTTATATACAAGACATTCTACATCAGGGCTAAGCACTAAAAGCCAGCACACCATAGTAAAAATCAACTGGAAGACAGCAGAGAGAAATTCCCAGGGGTAGCAAGCAAACTGTTAACAGAAGAAACAAAGTGGATTACTGGGAAATCAAGGCCTATCAAAAGGGAGGAGGGTCATTCTCACCTTTGTGTGGGAAGAATTCAGGAACCAGCTAATTTATAATATGCCATAAAACCAATGTCACTTTTAATTACTTAGGGTACTTTTACACATGCTTCAGAGGTGGGGAGGGGAGCAGCACTTTAATTAGAGTGGCTCCAAGAGCTGCTCTAATTAAAGTGCCACATCATCTCATGTATCAGCGCTTAAAAATGGTGGTGAAGGCATTTGAACTAAAGCTCATTTGATGAGCTTTAATTCAAGTGCCCCCACCACCACTTTTAAGTTTGGGAACGCTGATACATGAGATGCAGAAGGCTGCTGGAGCACAGTAATTACCACGCTCCAGAAGAGTCTGGTCTGACATGCTATAATTACGATGCATCTGAGCAGCCTCCCAGCTTGTGTATAGGCATGCATAGTTCTTAGTGTCTGAGGTTTTCCTGATTTTTGTACAGTTTTGTTGTACATATAAAAATATATTAAATTGCCCCACTGATAGTGATAGAGTAAAAGACAATTTAATAGAATCAGGTACAGTGACTGTCATAAAGACAAAAAATCAATGCATGGAGACAGAGAAAAGAGTTGACACTGGTCCAGACCTGTAGGGAGCCAACCAGGAAAGCCAAGGCTGTGACTGAACTCCAACTGGCTACACGTATCAAAGACAATAAAAAGTCCTTTTCTCAGATATGTGGGGAGCCAGAAGAAAAGCAAGGGTAACATTGAACTCCTGCTAAACCAAATGGGACAACTGACACCCAGGAAAAAGCCAACCTGCTTAATGGGCATTTTGCATTGGTTTTTCACCAGTCCCAAGGGACGGCCCTGCTCAATACAGTACGGGATGGCTAGGGTGAGGGAGAATTTTTACTCTAAGTCAATCTAAGTGATGTGAAAGAACACCTTGAGAAGCTGGACACCTTCAAGTCAGCTGTCTCAGACAGTTTATACCCCAGGGTACTTCAGGAGATGGCAGGCATCATAGCTCAGCCACTGTCCTGGATCTTCAAGAACTGATGGCACTTGGGTGACATGCCCAAAGACTGGAAGAAAGGCAATGTGATGCCTATCTTCAAGAAAGGGAGGAAAGTAGATCTGGGGAACTACAGGCCTATCAGCTTGACCTCTATCCTGGGGAAGATATTGGAAAAAGTTATCAAAAAGACCATTCTTGACAAACTGGCTGATGGCAATATCCTGAGGGATAGCCAACATGGGTTTGTTGCACGTAGGTCTTGCCTGACCAACCTCATCTCCTTCTATGACCAAGTGTCATATCACCTGGACAAGAGAGAAGAGATTGACGTCATATATCTTGATTTAAAAAAAAGCCTTCGATCTGTTGTCCCATGATCATCTCATGGAAAAAATGGCCAACTGCAGCCTTGGCTCCATCACAGTCTGCTGGCTGGGGAATTGGCCCTGAGGTCAGACCCAGGGAGTGGTAGCTGACGGAAGTAAATCATCATGGTGCACCGTGACCAGTGGGATCCCCCAAGGTTCTATTCTTTGGACTACACTCTTTAACATCTTTATTAATGATATGGACATTGGTATCAGAAGTAGACTAGCCAAGTTTGCTGATGACACCAAACTTTGGGGTAAAGTATCCACACCTGAGGACATGATAGTGATCCAGGCTGACCTAGACAGGTTCAGAAAATGGGTGGACGAAAACCTGATGGTGTTCATCACTGAAAAATGCAAGGTACTTGACCTTGGGGGAAAAAAACTGCACAGCATGCTTATAGGTTCGGCAGTGCTACGCTTGCTAACTCCATGGCCGAAAGGGACTTGGGGGTCATGACTGACCACAAGTTGAATATGAGCCACCAATGCGATGTCGCAGCTGGTAAAGTGAGCAAAATTCTGGCTTGCATCCATAGATGCTTCTCAAGCAAATCCCAGGATGTTATTCTCCTGCTGTACTCAGCCTTGGTGAGACTGCAGCTGGAGTACTGCATCCAATTCTGGGCTCCACAATTTAAAAAGGATGTAGAGAAGCTGAAGACAGTCCAGAGGAGAGCCATGCACATGATCAGAGGGCAGGAGAACAAGCCTTACGATGAGAGGCTGAGAGCCATGGGACTCTTCAGCCTGGAAAAGTGCTGGCTCAAGGGGGACCTGGTGGTTGCCTATAAGTATATAAGGGGTTTACATCAGGATCTGGTGGAATGTCTGTTCACCAGAGCACCCCAAGGGATGACAAGTTTAAATGGTCAAAACCTCCTCCAAGACCATTTCAGGCTGGACATAAGGAAGAACTTTACTGTACAAGCCCCCGAAACCTGTAACAGAGTCTGTCCAGAGGTGGTGCAAGCACCTACTCTGGATTCATTTAAGAGACATTTGGCCATTTATCTTTCTTGGATCCTTTGACCCCAGCTGACTTCCTTCCCCTGGGGCAGAGGGATGGACTCAATAATCTTCTGAGGTCCCTTCCAACCCTAATGTCTATGAAAAAAAAAAAAAGATTATAAACTCCTCTGAAAAGAGATTATCTTTTTGGTATCTGTACAGCATACCTCTTACAGTGCATCCAGGCATGCTCCAGATATACAAATAATACCTGTGACAGAGGGAACAGATTAGCCACAATTATAAACTAATATCATTGTTAAGTAAAATGAGACTATTAGAATAAGACTTGGTTGTAGATAAAGGGAGTGCAAAGAGTTGCAGACAGAACAACTGCCATCAGATTGTCTAGTTTCCTTTGTGAAGAATCTCTGAGCAACTTGTAATAATTATAATTATACCATAAGCAGTTTCTTGACTTCTTGCTTGGTCAGTCAAGATAGGAGGAATAGATCTATGAAGACAGTAAGCGAGCTGGTTGTGATGGCGGAGTACTTAAAACATAGTGGAACAGTACTCTAGAAAGCTGGGAAGAAAAGAATGGAATGTAACTTCCGCTGAAACATCTGAAGCACTACAGAACTCCAAGTTCATAAAGTTCTTCATTAACTGGGATGGAAAAGTTAACATATTATTCATTTTATGAAATTTCTAAGGCCCCTAACTAAGAAGCATAGGCCTAATGGAAATTGTATAGGAAAAAATAATCATATCAAGACAATTTTTTTGATGCAAGAAATACTTAATGGGGGATAGTTGTACAATCATATTTAAGGCCAAATGAGCTCCTATTCACTCATGTCAACATGTTACATAAGTATTCAAATGACTGGGTGCTTTAAGGATAGATAATGTCACAGCAGGTCCAGGCAGGAACACTTTGTGGATGGATTATTATTTGCATATGGGTGTCAGCCCCATCTATGACACTACTCAAAACCTACTCAAAGCCTCAAAAATTACACTGGAGAGCTGATATGGAGAAATGACCATTGCTCCAGCTACAGTTCCATGGGAAATATGCTCATAAATATGAATATAGGTTGAGACTCCTGCATGCTGTGGGAGTCGTTTTTAAGTTCCTGGCAAGGGAACTGCACTGAAAGGGAAATGTAGACGAGCCAAAGTGGGGTAGTATGCAATGCAGAGGTGCAGTGTTCCTACACTAGTAGTGTGGGGATCTGAATGGATTAGGCTGAAAAAAAACACTGCTTATTCCACACAGGAGACACTGACTTGGGGAAAGCTCTGTGATGGGGTCATGGAGTTTTCCTTTTTTTTTTGTGACTCCTTATTTAATGTCCCTGAAATGTAAGTTGGGAAATACCATGTGTTTTTCTCCAATAATCCATTTGTCTTTTTCTCCATTAATGACAAAAATCCCATAAGCCTTTTTTTCAAAGCTTTCAGTGACATCCATGGGAGCCTTCTGAGACCACAGGATTCAGTCCTGTTCTATTTATTTTTTTTTTGCTGTGTATTTGTACACTTTCTGGGGCAAAATATGATTCCCTGTAAACTACCCTGACATTCAGTTTTTTCTTTCAAAGGGGAACATCTGGGAACAAATATTGCGTATACCCTTCCTCCTGGAAATAATCAATGCTGTTCCCTTCATCATCACGGTAAGTCCATTTGAATCAACAGGCATATGCATTTTATGTGTATTCACAGCTAAATAGAATGAAAGGTCCAAGCCAACACACACTTAAATGATTGCCAATTTCTTTCTATTAGTTTGTCTGTAAGGATATTAGGTCAGTTAAAGAAGGAAGATTAAACAAGCTCTCTCTGTGTCTCTAAAAAGAAGAAGCAAATAACAGTGCAATGAAGAAGATAAACTCGCTAAAAATAAAACAGAGGATGTCTGCTTGATTCAATAATACGCTACTTTAAACTGTGTACCCCTTATCTCAGAGTTGCATCACATTATATATGGTCTGCATAATTTACAGTGACAAAATGTAGTTTTAAATTAATTTTTACATTAGGAACACACATATGATTTTGATTTTCCTGAGCTCTGTATTGGACCTAGTTTTTTGTTTATTTTTTTCAGATTTTCTGGCCTGCTCTAAGAAACCTATTTATACCTGTGTTCTTAAATTGCTGGCTTGCCAAACATGCTTTGGAGAACATGATTGTAAGTATGACAAAAATAGGCAAGGATAACATGTAAAGGTTATGTTTTTAAGTATACTGCTTTTAGTAAGGCTACTGCTTCCTTCCACCACCCAACGTTGTATGAAATTTATTAGCTTCACAATTAGAACATGAACCCTTTCTTTTTTTGCATCAAATTTGGAAAAAATGCAAGGCATCCAGTAAGATCCCCCCTACCTGATAGAAATTGATACATTTCCAATGATTATAATCCAGCAAGGGTAGTCCCTAGCTAGCATAAAACCAAAATGACTAGCTCCTGTGTAGTTCATCCATAGCCTGTCCATCAAGGAGCCATTACTCCTTGCTAGTATACAAAATCCTATGGGCTGTAGCCAACTGACAGTTTGAAAAAGGTACCAAGATATTCTAATTATGTCAAGGCTGAGTGTGTGTGTGTGTGGGGGGGAGCAGTCACAAAATCAGGGAACCACAACTTTGTATCCTCCCCACATTGTGCTCAACCTATTTTAAAGTGCATTTTGGCCATTGCATTTTAACAGGACCATCACAGAATTCCACAGCAGGATCAGCTGTTTCATTAATAATTTTTTATAAAAGAAAGACAAGTAAAGAAAAAACCCACCACAAACCAACCATAACACACTTTTTTTTATTAATATAGAATGATCTCCATAGAGCCATCCAACGCACACAGTCTGCAATGTTTAACCAAGTTCTTATTTTAATATCCACCCTACTGTGTCTTATCTTCACCTGGTGAGTGGCAGATTTTTTTTTACTACCATATATTGGTCTCTCAAGTTATACACATTTTAATAAAATGAGGCAATAGGATAACGTAATATGTGTTTAGATGAGTAATATCATTGCATATGAAAGGATCTAAATAATGGGCTGCTGATGAATTGTGGTTGGAGGGGGCTGTCAGATGAAGTAAATTCACATGCTTTACCTTGTACAAAATGATCAGTAACAAAACAAGGCACACTGCTACCTATACGCACAGGAAAAAAGCTGTAATATATGGAGGGGCTCTGCACAGCTCCACAAACTATCCTAATCCTCCCTAATCTATTGGCATGGGAAACAGAAGAATCCATATGGATCTGTGCTTCTGCAGCTTCCCCAGAAACTCATAGGCTGAGGAGCTGCTAATAACATTCCAGGATAGGATGGTAGCTGCAGAGAGAAAGTCAGCCACTGCAGTCTAATAGCTTTCTCAGGTATAAGGATTCATTTCTGAGTGCAGCAAAGCTGAGAAATAAGGCTATTATGAGGCTGTGGGGGTGGGAACACTAAGTGGGCAAACTCTGTCCGGAGTGGCTACTGCCTTCCCTTTATTTATTCTGCCAGCCAGGGTGCCTCTGGGGTCAGTGCACTGACAAAGCTTAGTCTATCATTTTGGAGACAGTGATTTGATTTGCTCCTGCTTTATTTCTCCAGCCTTATTCA